AAGGTATCTAACCCAGCATCTTTAAGTCACAAGGGAAACCTGTTGATCTTCCATCCCTTCAATTCTAACTTTTGTCAATTTGTGATAAAATTGCGCGATCCCATTTCCAGTGAGATTATAGGTATCCACGGCTGAAGGGTCACAAACTGTGACGAAACAGCGATCAGTGTTTCTTACAGGTTTCCAATGGTTCCCTAACTGAAGTCATTTTGTAATCACCCTCATGCACAAAAGCTAAGGAGGGAATTGTGATGACAAAAAAACTGTCAAATACTTACACTATTCATGTGTGATTTAGATTTTAAATCTACGTGTTAATGGACAAGAAACTGTTTCATCATGTATTAAAACTCGTCACCTAAATTAATTTCTATATGACTAATATAGTTTTATTTTTAAATATTTTCGATGTGCTTTAAAGTTTATTTAGAGATTGGATAGGGGTAGGGTCCCAAACCCCTTCCTGTCATTTCCCGGGTTTAGGACCGGCACCAGATCTAAATTTAGAAAACAAACACCACGTTGGTTAGTGCTTGCACATAGCTCGATATTTTTGTGTGTCATGAGAACCATTTCTAACAGCCTACTACAGAATTCTATCACCAACTGTCTTTGTTGGCACCACACTGAAAATCAGATGTCCAGCCAGAAAGAAGAGTTAGCAGCTTAAAACTTTGATAACAAACCAATCAAGAAGCTGTTGCTCAGGAAATATTTAAATTTTTTTTTTTTAAATTTTTGATTAAAGCTTAATTCCACACTGTATTTTTTGGTACAAGTATCGAATTTTCAGCATGGATATCGGTAGCCCAAATTTCGCAGGCCGACCATAGATATCAGGTGTGCGTCGGCGTGGGCTCGAACCCCGGACCATGTGGATGGTCGGCGAGAGTTCTAACCACTGTGCCACCGACGCACCGAAGATGAAGAAAATGGAGATGGACTGGACACACGCTAAAGAGACCGTCGAATGAGATATCGCACGCCAGGGAGAACCCTGACCTGTAACTAAATGGGAGACGGAGAGTTCAGCATTCGAGGTTGAGATGGAGGAAATCGTGTGAAGAGGAAATAAGAGCGTATGGGTAATCGTGGAGTTAGCTAAAGAGGACTACTACAGGAGCAGGGTGAAGTGGAGATGTCCTTTTGAAGCCTTATGTTTTACCCGGAATCCAAAAAGTCCCAGTGGAACATAGGGTGGCTTCAACCTAGAGGTTTGAAGTTTCAGTAGCAGTGGTGTTTACTTTGACGGGATAGGGCTGCTAGCCCTACGCCCATCCTCACCTCTTTACCAGTCTTAGTACTGGCTTAGAGGGTTACAGCAGTGTGTCGGCCCGGGGATAGAACTTCTAACCACATGTGGCGTGGTTGGCAAGCATTCTACCACTGTACCACCGATTAGGAATCCAAGGGGCAATGATAATAAAATGTTTTGTGAAATATTCCCATATCATGAATTAAAAGTTAATTTGAACTGCAGATTGACTTTTAATAAAAAATATACGCTACTACTGAGTACAATTTGTGTCTAAGTTTTAAGTTTTGAACGAAGTTCAGAGACATTTATAACCTATCACTTTGAAACTCAACTAGGCAAATCAATAGACACAGCTGATGAGGCTGTCGGGTGACATCGTGCGCTAGGCTATCGCTCAAGTAGAACCCTAACTGGGAAACAATGAGTTGGGAGTCACTTGGATAATAATCAATAATAATAATAATATTTGTCAGAGAGAATACAGTAGCAAAAAACATAAAACAAACAAAGAAAAAAAACCACCTGCACTTACTTCAACCGTTTGAGCTGGAAGTGATATTGATACTGATGACGACGGGGTAGGAACTGAGCCTCCTCCACTGCCACCTACTACAGGTACAGGAATTCCACTTGCAGATAATTTTAAACTACTAACACCAACCAGTTGAACAGTATCATCTGTTACGGAGGCTGTCAAATTGCCACTACCACCACCCCCAGCAACTGGTACATTATTATTCTCTAAATATGATCCAGTAGTTGTAGAGACGGGCGCAACACCACCCGCACTACCACCACCAACAACCAACGGAGATACTGTTGGTTGTGCTGTTGACAAAATCACATGATGATGACTCGCTGGTAGAGGTACACCACTTACAGATGACGGGGGAACACATGGAGAGAGTTGACTATTCGCCTGAGATCTTAATGGATCAACAATTGCCAGTGAGGATAGAGGAGCGACAGCCGGAGTTCCAGGATAATGATCTACAATATCTATACGTCTATTAGAACCAGGTTCATTGATCTCTACGCCTTGATGATATTCAGGCAATTGCATATATTCATGATCTCCAGTGAGTACAGGTGATTCATAATTAAAGTTTGTAGGATCTATATGATTAGGTAGAAATTCATTTGGATTATACGTGGCAAATGTAGTCGACGGTTGGTCAGAAGGATATTCTTTTCTGGATAACCATCGTAGTGGACAGCCTAATAGACATGATATAAGCAAAGCTGTACCAGCGAATAGAAAGCCTATTGCAGAAGCATTATGCACAGGAGCAGTATCTGCTGTAAAGATATTCAACGGTGGTAGACTCTCTATGCGCTTATCTCTTAAATAGCCTAAAAATAAAAGTCGGAAAAGAAGCAAATTGTTTACATTTAAAAACACAAACTACTCATAAGTAGCTGGAAGTAAAATATACAAAAAAAGTAATCGTAGTGATAATCAACTGAACATGCATTTCACGATTAGTATGGTGAACTGACGAGTCTGTCTAGCAAGAATTACTCAATAATAATTAAGTCGCAGTTCTATTTTTACTCCGTCTCCGCCTGCTGTGATCCCTTTTCAATGGGTAGCTGACTTACAAAAGTTGTTAGTAAAGATCATTGCCCCTATTCCCCTGGAACCCTAACACTATAAAGTAAAGATGTAACCAGCGAAGTAAAAGTTCTTTTCGACGATTGATTTTTATTATACAGCTTGCACAATCGTAATTATATTTAATAAAAAATTCATAAGACCATTCATAAAAGCTTATCAACTCTGGATACCGAGAACCCCCATCTGCAGGAATGCTTCACAGTGCTATACAGAGTCACTCACTGTCGTATGAAAGAGACTTCGAATACTCTATGTGTAAACAGCTGAATCATTGGCAATTCGGAATCTGAAGCCCGACTTCTGCATTACAAAGGCCACTACTTGAGAACATGCCTTACCTACAGTAATGTCTATACAATGATTGATTGGCGGCCTAATTAAACCTTGGGCTACCGAAATTTTCCGTCAATTATATATATATATATATATATATATATATATATATATATATATATATATTACCTGGATTTATTTTATTTTAATTATTCAATTATGTGTCCAAATCGTATTTACTTACTCTCGCGATTATTTAAAATGTTTTCAACCTGATGATTTACGAGTATTTAATAACCTTAAGAAAAAGCATTATGGTGGGTGGCAAAGATCCTTAAAGTGTACTCCAATGCATCAGATGACTGTTCCTGTGATGATTATGAGCACAAATTGCAGGTCATTATCGAACACGATTAATTAATTGGATGCTTTATTATGTTCAAATATTTACCGTGATACAGGTGTAATAACGCTTCAAGAAGCTTGACTCCACAATTCATATGACGACAATTTAATCTCCCTGAAGGGTTTCAATATGTACAGACAAGACCGAAGTAGTTCAAAGAAGAAGCGAGGTGGTGGTGTTGCTACTTTTATCCATTATCAGTGGCCTGTTGCCAACAATGTCTGTTTTAAATTCTCAAATGATAATATTGACTGTATAACTGTTAAATGTCGACCTAAACACCTATCTAAATACAAATTGATTTATATCACAAACATTTATGTCACACCTTGTTGTAGCACTTCAGAACTGTCTATGTTTGCTGATGAATTCACTATATTTCCTGCTTCATCTTTTGGGGACTCATTGTCCATAGTGACAGGCGATTTTAATTTATGTAACTACAACTTTCTCACAGTGCTAGATCATGAAAATGTCGTCAACTTTCCCACCAGACTGGATACTTCTCTTGATCTTGTATTTATAAATGACTGTGGAATATACAAAGCTCGTAAAAGAGCTCCACTGTTTAACTCAGATCATTGTATTGTACGAGTTTTACCCAAAATTTATGGAAAGTTACACAAGAGAACTTTGTCACTCATGGATGTTACTCTAAGGAGAATGTTCAAAATTTTAGGAGCATGCTCAAAGACACAAGGTGGGACTTGTTTAAAATGAAGACTCTCTTGATGACACTATCTCTAATGGTGCATATTATCTCAAATTTTGTCTTGACACCTGTTGTCCCAGAGAAACACTCTTCATCAGATTTGACCGTTTCTTCCACCCCCACCCTCAACTTAAAAAAGCTTCGCGGGCACAAACAAAATTTATGCAAAATGAAGGATAATACTGGTTTGAAAAGAATTAACACCTTGATTAAGTCTGAAATGCACAGATCGAATTCAGTTATTAAAAAACGAAAAATAACGGTCATAATAAACATACGAATGAGGGGCAGTTATTATTATTATATCCTTTAATTCCTAGAGGAACATAGGGCTTCAGCTGCGCACCTCCATTGCCTTCTGTTTTCTGCCAGCTTTTTCACTCCACTCCAAGTCTGCCCACATGCTTTCGTCTCCTCCTCACATGACCTCCTCCGAGTCACCCTTGCACTGACGACCAACTCGCCGCTTCCCTTTCGGGTTCCACTCGAGCAATGGCTTGTCTAGTGATGTCACTTGATGGTTTCCTCAGCGTATAGCCAGCCAATCCATCTCCATTTCTTCCTGCATATTTGTTTCGCGATCGGTTCCTGGTTGGTTCGCTCCCAGAGATCCCTGTTGCTGATTTTTTCTGGTCGGCCATCTGATCTTGAGTAGTGTTGAGCGAAGACAACTGTTAATGAAGGTCTGAAGTTTGTTTGAGATGCTCTTTATGACGCGCTGGCCAAGTCTCTGATCCGTATAGTAGGTAGCACTGACTTCACATTGGAGTTAAAAATCCGGATCTTATTTTTGATTCTGAGTGATGTTGACCTCCACACAGACTTCAGAGTAATGAAAGCCTGTCTTGCTTTTCCGATTCGTGCTTTGATATCCTCGTCAGTTCCATTCGCCTGCAGTTGAAACGATGCTTCTCAGGTAGGTGAATGACTGTCGTCTGTTGTTGTTGTTGCTGTTGGTGTTGGCTAAGAATCTTCATCACCTCTGTTTTATCTATGTTCACTTGAAGGATAAAAAACATGTGTAAATCTTGTTTTTCACTCTCTCATTGTCATACAAATATTGTTTGTATGCATCATCAATTATCTTTAAAATCACATGGTTGAGATTGTTGGAAAAATTCAGTAAAAAATAATAATAATAATAATAATAATAGAAAAGTGAAAATCAAAATTCATTTTACTATTGACTCTATAGTGTTGTATAGTATGAAAGACTCAATCAGTTTGATAAGCTTCGAATAAATAGTGTCTTCTACCAGGTAATCATGTGATATAAACGGAGGGATGGATAGATCAGTGTGCTTCATATCACATATTACAAATCCAAATGTGACTATTAATATATTGTTTAAAAAAAATTTAAAAATTCTTATTGAAACATTTGGAAAAATCAACAGATTCAGAGAAGCAATAAACATTTTCATTATAAGCTGACATAGGTTAGAAAACCATTGGAAAACCAACTAGAAGTGTGGTGAGAGCAGGCCGCTAGCCAATTGGTAGACATTAATTCACGTCAATGTCTAGGTCACTAATATTGGCCGTGAGAAAATATGAACAAGACTGATTCAACAACCAATCACAGCAAACTTAACGTGGGCAAATATGATTCGCAGATAGATGGCTCCACTTTCCGAGGAACTCGAAAACAACCAATCAGAAGACTGCATTTGTCTACTTAACTAGGCTATAATAATGTATGTGAAATTTATATAAATATGTGTTGATTTCCGTAATAAAACGATCTATTGCCGGCCCTTGTTTTCTGCTGTTAAAGAAGTACTGGACAGGTGTTTCGTCAGCCTATTTTTGAACCCTTCAACTACTACCACCACGGGTCGAACGCATGTCGGGTGTGAGGAGAGATAGACATTCGCCGCCACTTCATGAATTAGCACAAGTGGGAATTCATCGGCTTGCTACTGGATCGAGTTCCACCGGCTTAATCGTCTACGACCTTGCCCTGTAACTGGATGATCATGAGTTCAAGACCTGGCGATCGGTGAGTTATGATAAAAAGTCCTAAATTAGGACGGAATAGCTGTTCAGTACTTCTAGCTGGTTTTCCAACGTTTCTCTAACCGATGTCAGCCCATGATAAAATCCTGCGAACCAATCAATCAAATCCTCGCAAACCAACACTTAAATAAACATTTCTTTTCAATCAGGTTCCTCGTCATCATTTCTATGAGAATTGTCAATTTTCGGTAGAGAGGAGGGGTCACCAAGATAACTAAGTTTTGAAGGGGGTGTGAAAATTCAAGATCATTTAATCTGTAGGGGGGAAGATTTTATCAGATCTTATGAGAAGTGTTTTTCAAAAGGACTTTTACCCCTCCTATGTTAAGCTGTTTATTCACTAGCCAATCAATATTCATTTCAAGAAATGAGGACAAACTGCATTGTTTGTTTCGCCTCTTCCATGTGTATTTACTAGTTTAACTGCTCTTGTGAAACTAGTAACATTGGACATACCATCATCCGAGTTCATCGTCGAATTTCTGAATACCATCCATCTATCCTGGTTTGGCAAAGGTTCAAATAAAGCTATACGCAGACCAATACTAGATCATTTCATCGAAACTGCATAATACATACATCATACCTACTGCACAATATATGTATTAAGTTTTACAAACGATTTTCCTCTCCCTTGTAACTCTATCTTTTGCCTTTTTTATATTATTATGATTATAATCCTAGCTAATTCACTTAACTTATTATTATTATTACACTCACTTTGAAATTACTTATAGGTCAGGATGAGTTATCCCCTAAGCTGGACTTTTTATACCATCTATGTTTCATTATCACTGGTAGACATAAGCGTTACTTACTTTACTTTACTTCGGCTATCTCCTACGGGAGGATGAGCCGGCTTCATGAACATCTCGAATCATCGCTGCCCAGGCGCGGTGATCTGATGCAAGGTTTTTTCACGACAGGGTTATCCAATTCTTGTTCCACAGACGGAGTCCTTAGACGGTTTGTAGCCCCAGCCCAGGCACTCTATATCAGCCTTGACTGTACCAAGCCATGTTTTCAGCTGTCCACCCCTACGACATCGCCAAGATGGAAATGGCAAGGGATTTAGAACTGATTTGACCAGATCGTCATCTGGTCGGTGCAGAACATGGCCAAACCACCGAAGGCGACATTGTTGCACCAGTACTGGAATTTGGTTGATGTTGTAGAGAGTTCATGAAGTTTCATGGGAATTAGGTACGAGTGATGTCCCCAGCATCACTCGGCCTTTTGTTTGAGAGTGCAGCTCTAGCCTTTACACAACCAAGTGTGAGTGGGGTAGGGAGTCCACTATCCATTGGGACCCGGTGACCGGAGTTCGGTTCATACGCCTTTTTGAATGGGGCCAGACATCCAGTGCATCCAATAAGCCCTTTGTCCATACGTCTGACGGTGACCTCCGGTGAGCTTCATACGCCAGTCGTTGGAGGTTTGGAATCAGGGTTTAGCCATCTCCCCTAGACTGTCATCCAATGGACAGTCAACCCGGTGAAGAGCGCCGGGCATCCGCTTTTGCCCACTCACTTTGGTGAAAAAACACCTCCGCCACGTGAAGGCAGTGAGTAGGACTTCCTCAGGAGAGGCTATGTAAGACGCTCGGTCATATGGGGAGCATTTCAAGAGGTGTACGGAGGGGTGGCTAACCTGCAGCGCAAGACACCCACCCCCGACCATCCTGAGGCTTTGGAGGCATATATATATAATAGTATATCACGCAGCCAACAGTAACAACATGCAACAGTCGCCATCAACAAATGTCTACAGGACGTGGCATTTTTCAATAACTTGTATGCATCATTTCAACTACAAGCGGCACGGATTAGGATGTCAAAGATAGCAACGACGATTGGAGAAGCAATATAAACCTTCACTAGTCTGAAGTCAGTGTGAGAATCCACTGTACTACTACTCGTATAAAGAACAAGGTTGGGATTTTCAGTAATTATATCAAGTCAGTCAGTGTTTCTATAGGGTTCTCAGACTTGGCATACACATCACGAAAAGCCATTTCCATCAAGCTGACTTTCATCAACAGTTGCTTTCGTTAGCTTCAAACTGCAGAACAGATGGCCAGCTAGATATAATTAGCAACAAGGAAGTCTTTCGATAAACCGATCAACAACCTATTGCTCGACATATATGAAGAAGGAAATGGAGACGAATTGGACACACACTGAGGAGATCTTTGAGTGACCCTCGAGTGTAGTCCGAATTAGAAATGACCACCTAGGCATTTTTCCAAAGGTGACATGGAGTAGATCGTGTGAGGAGGGGGAGGGGGAGAAGGAGAAGGAGGAAGAGGAGGAAATGAGGGCATATGGACAGTCATGGGAGCTACCTAAGAAAGACTGAAGAGAACAGAATGAAATAGGGATGTATTTGTTGGTCAAGCCTTAGATTTCACATGGAACCCAAAGGATGAATCATAATATCGAATATACCATGCAATGAGAAGTGGTGGTGGAGGGTAGGGAGGAGAATGTTTAACATTCAACCAAATGAAGGAACACGAAGGAACAAAAAGGCGATAATATCGAGGAATCACGATGACGATGATGATGATGAATATTAACAATGATACACCACAGGACAAATTCATATCACTGGTAAACTCGGTCATTATGCAGAAGAGTAAGATTACACGAAATTTAATCAATCCAAAAAATAATTAGTAAACTGATGATTGTTTAAAAAAATGTTCTACAAAGAGAGAATGATGAAACGATCATCAAGAATTAACTATCTGTCGTTGAAAACATCATGAAGAAATTAAGATGACATGAACAGTAATAATCTTACCATTGAATTTTATTCTGTATGAGCCATGAAAATGTACAGTGATTATAACAGGCGGATGGAGAGCAGGAAAAATGAAGTACTTCAGCGTAAGCAAAAGGTTTATTCACACACACACACAAACGGCACAGAGATGTAGATTAACTAACAGCCCTTTGCTTCCTTGAAGTGACGTTAAATTCCATGTCCTTCTTATAAGATTTCCTCCACATCACCTTTGGACCCCTTTCGCAACTCGACATTTTCCCACTTGGTGGGGGGGGATACACTCAAGGGTGCGTCTGACTCACGATGATATTCGACAGTCTCCTCAGAGTATATCCAATTCATCTGCTTCGAAATATTTGCTGAACACTGGGGCTATTGGTTGGTTTGTCCCCAGAGATACTTGTTGCCAATTTTTTCTAACTGGCCATGAGATCTTCAGTAAAGAACCAACAAAGGTGATGGCTGTTAACAAAAGTCAGCGCCAAGTTGCTGAGCGATATAGATGAACTGACTTAACATTGGTGTTGAAAATACTGGGTAAAGAAGATTTCCAGAGGGATTTCAGAGCGATGAAGATCTTTCATGCTTATTCTCATACCGATTTTGACATCCTTATCGGTTCCGCCCGAGCTCTACGATTTCACCCTCCAAGCGACTCCTAACTCACTGTTTCCAACTAGGGTTCCACTTGAGGATCTATCTAGCGTGCGATGTCCCTCGACAACCTCCTCAGCGTGTCTCCTATCCATCTGCATTTTCTACTTCATATTTGTTAGGTGATAAGGTTCATGGTTTGTTCGTTCCTAGAATTACTTGTTGGCAATGCTTTCTGGCTGGCCATCTGATCTTCAGCACATAGACAGACAGGGCGTCAGCTGTTGATTAAAGTCTGCAGTAGCCTGTTAAAAGTCATTTTCATGACTCTTCAAGTCTCCAAACCACATTGAAGCACCGACCGACTTGATATATTAGTATCCGAAATTTGGATCCGGTCCTTTATGCTGAGTGAAGTACATCTGATCCTGGTTTTGACATCCTCGTCTGTGGAGTCAGCTTCAATTGAAACGATGATGCCTAGATAAGTGAAGGAAGTGACCTCCTTCAAAGTCCTTACGTTGATAGTGATTGATACGTGATGTTCTTGGTGGGGGTTCAGTATCTTCATCACCTCCATCTTCTCGATGTTTTTAC